CCGGAGCCTGCAATCCAGCACCCAAACTCCATCCCAGAGCCTGCACCCCCTCACCCCCCTCCTGCACCCCCACCCCCTGCCCCAGCCCGGAGCCTGCAATCCAGCACCCAAACTCCATCCCAGAGCCTGCACCCCTCACCCCCTCCTCGCACCCCCACCCTCTGCCCCAGCCCGGAGCCTGCATCCAGCACCCAAACTCCATCCCAGAGCCTGCACCCCAAACTCCCTCCCCCACCCAAACTCCCTTCCAGAGCCCAACCTCTCACCCGTCCTGCACCCCAATCGCCTGCCCCAGCCCAGGGCCTGCACCCCAGACCTCCTCCCCCCACCCAAACTCTCTCCCAGAGCCTTGGGCAGGTGGGGGGCGGAGTTGGGGGGGGGCAGGCTCTGGGTGTTCTGGGCACCACCAACATTTCTACAAACCTGCCGCCCGTGTACAGCCATAGGTTCTAACCTCACTTCTCCTATTAACTGGCATTCATTATTTTATGGCACGTCATAATTCTTACTACTAAGCAAAGACTCAGGTGTCAGACCTCCCCTTTTACAGAAAAAGGAACAGACGTTTCATAACATCGTCCTCACAGAGCTGGGAACAGAACCCAGGTTTCTCATCCAGTCGAGTCTCATCCTCTTAGCCACATTACTTCTTAGAAAGAATTTGACAAATCTATGCGCGCGAGTGAAGTGGACTGTTTCTGCATATCTAGTCCTTTGTTTTAGAGAAAAATGGCTTACTCCTGCTTCCACATACGGCAATCACTCTGTCAAGTCACTGGTACTGCTCTATGCTGAAGTACAAAAGGTTCCAGACCCTGGAACAAACCCTGCTGTGGATCAGGTGAGAGAAGGGGTGTTACAGTTGTTTTGTTTGTCTGTTTATTAAAGCAAACTAGGAAATTACAAAAACTGATTGAAAAGCCAAAAAAAATTCATGGTAAATTCCATGAGGAAAATGACCATTTGACATTTTTTCACCAAAAAATGATGGCTTTTCTGTGGGAAGTTTTTCTTTTGACTAGAACTTTTCATTTAGTTTTGTAATGACATTTTAAAATGAAAAAAATGTTTGGGGCTTAAAACATTTCACTTTCCATTTTCAGTTTTGTGATTTTCATGTTCCCCCCATTTTTTCTGACACAACACTTTTACACAATAGTTGCTGATGTCTCATTATATTTGTCTCAGGCACTGCTAAGTTTCTCTGCCGCTCACTTCAGAAAATTAATTGTGCTCCAGGCACATGACTTACCTGCTTTAAAACAGGGGATATTCATGGCCTTGTTTGTGAATAAACAGAGGCTTTGGGATTTGTTCTCAAAGGGCAGTAATCCCAGCCCTGCATCAGTAAAGTTCTGGTTCAGCGCCATCAAACCCAGCTGGTTTGTCTGATTCCTAATACTCTTAGCTAGAGGAACTTCACTGCCGTACACCATGCTGGCATCCAAGAATGAAGTGATCGCATTGATCTGCTCTCGCGTAAATGTTCTAGCATTGCACACTGGAGCTGTACGGACGAATGGCATACAAGTATTTGGGTCCTTAATTCGTGGATCATCAGGGGGAATCTGTAGAAAACAAAAGAGAATTACTCCCAATTTAAAGTGTCGATGTGTTGATAAAGATTGAATTTTTTTAAAAGATATTCCCTAGTTCAAACGGAATTATTCTAGGGAAGATCTGTGGCCTGTGCTATATAGGAGGTCAGACTAGATGCTCACAATACCCCCTGGCCTTAGAATCTATGAATCTAGGAATGTTCCAAACTCATTATCTATTCTTATTATGTATTAAAATAGTGACGGGAATTCACAGATTGGATCAGACCCATGGTACGTCTAGTCTAATGTCCTGTCTCTGACAGCGTTTAGTGGCAGATGATTCAGAGCAAGGTGCCATGAACCCTGCAGTAGGCAGTCATGAGATAATCTGCCCCCAAGAAGGTCTCATGCTAATCCCTAATAGTAAAGGATCTGGTTTAAAATGGTTTAAAATCTGAAGTAGGATTTTCAGAACCCTGTCAAAAATTGTATTAGCATTAGCTATTCTAACTCTGGATGCTCTTGTTATGCATATCCCTCTTTGTATCTTGCTACATTCGTCATCTAGTAGCAGTGAGTTCCACAGTCTATTGATATATACATATTCTCCATCCCATTCTTTATGCATTGTGCCAGCATGTTGGCTTTTTTGACCACAGCTGCATATGGAGCAGAGATTTTCATTGAAATGGCCACAGTGAAACCCAGGTTCTTTTCCTGATTTATAATAATATTACCTACACCCCCACCCTCAAACCACCCAATTAAACCAAACAAAAAGCCCAACTGTGCTAAAAGAAAATTATTTAGATCACAAAGTCAAGCACTCAGAAGTTAGGAAATGACAAATGTTATGGCTGCTCTTAAGTCTGCCTTTTGTGTGTCCATTCTGTGCACTAAACCAATCCTAGAAAAAACAGTATATAATCACATAATGAAAGACTGTAGCATGATCCATATGTTCCAGGAAACATAATAAAGGCTGCATGGACAACCTGAATTCTGGCATTTTTAAACTTTGGAATGCTTGACTTTGCAATCTAAATAGTGTTCCTTTAATGGAGTTTTTCTGTGTGTAATTCCCTGTCTTCTTTTGCTTGGGGAAAGTGCTGGGTGCAGCATCCCAGTCTGTCTCTCCCCACAATACCCTGTTACAGCTGATAGACATTCCCAGTACGGTGGCTACCGTTTCTTTGGCAGCAGTGTGGGCCCAGCCTTAGAATGTGGTGTTCAGTTAGTATTTCACCAGGCTACCAACATTTTCCTGCAGAATGAAAGTGACAGAGGGGAAATGGCCATTTTTTCAACTACTTATTGTATCTCAGCAAAACGTGAACAGAATTCCACAGGGCAATGAACAGGCACTTCTCTGGCTCCAGGGCTTTCTCTGCGCCAAATTTCAAAAACCAACTGCAAACAATGGAGCTAGTACAGCTTCTCACAAAAGATTGCAAGAGTATTTTATGATGGAATTGTGATGGGGTGTACAAGCCCCACACTGGTGAACCAGGGGTTAAGGAGTAGCTATGGGCCCAGAAGGCCCAGCCCAGCTGCACCTGCAGGGCCTGCTCACAATGAAGGCCAAGCTCAAAAGGAAGCATCCTAGTTGTGTCAGGGTGGATAAAGCAAGGGAACAATTCTACATTGTTAGCTCCTACAGAGAGGCTACAGGAGCACCCACTGCGTGGACCAGACCCATCTGCTGAGCCACTGGGGGCCCTGGGGAGCAGTGGGCTGCAATTAATGGAGAAGAGTCTTCGGATCACTGCCAGGGAGAATCGCCAATCAGTGAGTCCATAAGCAGACTCTGCTGTGATTTTGGAGAGGCAGAGGCTGGGGTAGGAAGTGACCCAGGGAGCAGGGTTGGGGGGTGTCTGCCCCAGGCTGTGTCTCTGACCTGGCAGTCACAGGGCCCCTGATGGAGCAGGGAGGGCCCGGGTTCCCCTACCACACACCCCGCAGACTCTCGCCATTGGCCTGTCATGACTGCAGACTGCAGACACCAACCCCCATGGACAAGAATGTGCTAGGCAACCTAAATATAGAGGTTACTGCCATAGGTATTGGAACTAGGGATGCTGCCGCATGAACTGGCTCAAAGTGGATTCCATTATATACAGGGTTTACAGTTTGGTTCAATGGCTTTCAGCACCCCCACTATAAAAAATGTTCCAGCCCCCCTGGTTACTACCAGCTCCCCCTGTAATATACAGTGTCCTAGGTGCTTTAGGCTTTGAAGAATTCACAACTTTGATCTTTCTATTTTTTCAACATAAAGTTTTTCTGGGTCTAACCTTATACACTATTCTCAGTCTTAGAGCCCAGACACTGCTCCTGCAAGGGAGGAAAAGACTCAGGGTTGTAGTTGTACCTGAATTGGGAAGCAAGGTGGCTCAAAGGTGCAACTGGTCTCGCAATGAACTTCTTTATTGTCGATTTTTGTCGTAGTGAAAGGGGCTAAGTCCAAATCGTGGTCAACCCACTGACCCCACTGCATGAAGATGAGAGAGCGCTCCTGGTCTTGGGTGACATTCTCATTGGCTGTGTGAATGATTTCATTT